GAGTAGAGGTCTTTTACCTCTTTAGTTAAGTTTATTCCTAGGTAGCTTAATTTTTTTGGTGCGATGGTAAACGGGATTGTTTTTATAGTCTCTCTTTCTGAAAGTTCACTATTGGTGTATAGAAATGCCTCAGATTTCTTGGGGTTAATTTTGTATCCTGCTACATTGCCAAATTCATGTGTTAAGTCTAGTAGCTTTTTGATGGAGTCTCTAGGGTTTTGTATGTATAATATCATGTCGTCTGCAAATAAGGACAGTTTTACTTCCTCTTTTCCAATTTGGATGCCTTTTATTTCTTCTTCTTGCCTAATTGCAATGGCTAACACTTCCAGTACTATGTTGAACAGGAGTGGTGAGAGGGGGCACCCCTGTGATAAGACACATTTTCAAAGTGGAACAGAAGTTCTTAAAGAGATTGATTTAGACGATTAGTAACCATCAGACTTCTTTGTATGACATCAGTGTAATTCAACTTAATCTCTCTTACCAATTTAAAAGTTTTCAGAATGTATCCCAAGGTAATAACCTCTCACTTTGGTAAAAGCAGAACATCAGTTCAAAATTACACAGATGCTGAAGTGAAAGAGAAGTGGAATGTATAAATTAATCCCAGTCAGTATTAAAAGCATTGTGAGAAAAAATGTCACCAAAAAAAGGATGTTATGAATCAAAATAGAATGTATATTTGGATAATTACAATCTATAATTCTATAAAAATTGCTAGAATTCAAACATCTTTAATACATTTCTGGTGAAATCAAAGTCGAAATATAATACTTGGGATTCCTCCTTCTCCAAAGATGAAATTAAACGAATCAAGTAATTTGTTCTCTAAAATACTCTGCAAATTCCAATTCACAAGAAATATATAAAAAATGATTAACAATAAAAAGTTTATATGGATGAAAAGCTACAATTCCAGTCTTTGCTACCTCAGCAAGGTACTTTCCATGTACTACATCAATAAAATAGAAATGGCAGTTCCTGAGAACACGATCTACATTTTAATTACATTTTAAGACTAACTTTAATCTCAAAAATCACATATCAATTCATCCGTTTCCTTTTTGCTGATTTCACTTACTTAAATGCATGGTTTGCCCAACAAAGACATGGAAAAACAAATATTTACCATGTCTGTTACGTGTAACTCACAGGAACAGCTTTCAACAGAAATTCATTGATCTTCCCCATGACATTTATTTTTATTATAAATACAGATATCCAAACAATCCTGAACATATTTTTGATACTATTGGTAGTCAGCACCCACACTACTTAAAAATTAAAACAATTTGAGACAATATTCATTGTACCTGCTACTTTAGACAATTTAAATGGAAGCTCTTTCTCTAAGCAAGATGGACAAAGCATGCCATTTCTCTTTTTCCTTCTTGAGATTTTTACTTTTTAGTGAAAATCACCACACTTTCATCTTGTAAACCTGAATTCTATTTTGAACACTCCAGCTTGATGTTTAAATGACAGTGCCTTAAAAAATGGTGCTGCATTTTTTTTTCTCCTGTTACCTGAAAACATAATGTGTATACATATATTAAGTGTCTTCTTACAAATGTCCAGGTCATGTTTACCAGTTGGCATTCTGATATTTAATCAAGACATTAACATGAGTAGAAGATTGTTGATTTAAGACAAGTTTGAGATCCACTAAAAGTAATTGTTGTATGTTTGTCCTGATTGCTGTGGAAGCTTCTTTGGATAGCATTAGACGTCTTAGTTCTTGAAGTACAACTTTAATGCTATATGACTTTTGCCATTTTGCTAATACAGATAAGCTCCATGCACCTACCATTCCACTGGAATTATTTATTCCATTCATATTAATTTTTATTACAAATCTAACTGATGGAGGAGCTTCTGGGTATTTAGGTCCACATTCTACTTTTAGGCAATATATATATTTTGTTTTCATAATTTATCCTTGGTGGCCCAATAATCATGCCTGTCCACCTTGTAAGTGTCATATCTTCACCATCTTTAAGGCCCCAACTAACCGTCCTGTTGCCTACTCTTTTTTTTTACTCTATTTTTATTTTTTAAAAATTATTTATTGTCTAAAGTTTTACATATATCTCCTTTTCCCCCAATTGGTCCCCCCCCCCTTTTCCAAGTTCTTCCAATGAGCGAAAATTATGAGGAACTTTAACTCCTGTGGAGACTGCCATCTTCTTCTGTACCTTGATGCTGCTGTCAGCCCGTTTCTTCCTTCCTTCCTTTCAAGAACATCTTTCTTTCCTCCCAAGAACAGATGACCTCACCTTGCATTGCTCTTGTTTTGTTTTGTTTTCCCTCCAGGAGACACACCTCCTACCGAACAGCCAAAGTGCACTGACTTCCAGAATGCCAGCCCCTTCCGAGGCACCAATCTCAAAGTCCAGTTCCTCCTCTTCACCCCTTCAGATCCTCACTGTGGGAACCTAGTTGAAGAAAATAGTGACCTTCAAAACTCTGGATTCAATGTCACTCTGGGAACCAAACTAATAATCCATGGATTCAGGTGGGAGCTAACCAATCAATAGGATTGCCTGTGCTAAGCGCTAGAAAGTGATCATGGGAAGGTAGTGGGGAGTAAGAGGAGGAATGAATTGGCTGACTGTCACAGGTCCCATCCCTCATCTCCTGCTGTCTGTAAAGGTGTCTCATGTCAACATGAACCCATATTATGTTGTTTATTTCTGTTGGTTATATATGTTACTCCTCCCTCAGCCCTTGTCTACACACTCTCGAACAATAAATATGTGTGATCTTGGACAAATCACTCCAGCCCATGGAGCCTAAGGGAGAAGAAGGGAGTTTGTAGAGATGACCTTTCTTCCTTGAAGCGTGGTTGTATGATTCATCTCAGCCAATGAAGTCATGGGCTTTGCTCAATTACTCAGGGGTAACAGCTTGAGGTTGTTGTTTTTTAAATACAGAATTTTCTTTTCTCACTTCTTCCCTGGTTTTATGACCTAAGAAACTACCACTTATGGATGCTACTTCTGTCCCACCCAGAGGCTAGCATTTCTCAGGAATGTGCCAAAGTCTCTCGCCTGGCAAATCCTACATTTAGCCACTATCCAAGGCTGAGTGTGTGCCCTCAACCCAGGGATAGCTAATAGAGCTGAAAAGCTCATCGGGCTCCTCACTGTGTGTGCTCCTAGATCCAAAGTCACATTCCATGACAAATGTCAGTCTGCTCCTCTGTCCCATGAGCACACACTCAGAGAATGTGCTCTGATTGTTCCTGTGCTGTGACAGGCCATTGAGAAAACTTCTTTCCTGATCCCAATTGATTGGGAAGAAAGCATTCTGAAATTTTAAAAACCATTCTCTTTTTCTACAAAAGTGCTATTACACTGTAAGTTCCAGAATGATAGGGGCTGTATTTTATTTTATTTTAAATTTCTGCAAAGCACCTAGCACACTGCCTGGCTCATTTGTTGAAGAAATAAATAAGTGAATGGATAAATAAAAACATCCCCAAGAAAGTACCTATTTTCTAGAATTAAGATTGCAAATCTTAACTCTAATGTACAAATCTATCCTTTCTTTCCCACAAATCACACAAGCAGGGCCAGTGCACATGGCTTGTGTAGTTGAAGTTTTGCACACAGTGCTGGGGGCTGGGGCCTGGGGGCTAAGCGCTGGGGGTTGGGAGGCTGAAATGCAGCCTGAGTTCTGAGTCTAGCACGGAGCCGCAGCTACCTGGACAAGAGGCATCCTATCATAATTTACACAAAGGCTCCCTACGTGCAGGCAGAAGCCCTGGTCACTTTGGGACTGTCCTCCCTATGCTCAAATTGCTGTGACTTACTGCCCTTGTATCCCCCTTCCCTAGTCTTGACTTTTTTCTGGGTTTATTCTGTTAGCAGAGGTTCCCATGACAATGGATATCAATTTGGCAGATAATTTATTCTATCCTTTCTTGGCCCCATGACTAGGGCTTTAGGAACAAAGCCTTCCTGGATTGAGAAGCTCATCGGGGCCCTTCTGAGGTCAGCAGACGCTAACGTGATTGCCGTGGATTGGGTGTACGGCTCCACAGGTGCCTACTTCTCGGCCGTGGAAAATGTGGTTAAGCTGGGACTCAAGATCTCCAGTTTCCTCAGTAAACTCCTGGTGGGTGCAGAAGAGCCGATGGGGGTTTCAGCTGCACTGGAAGGGAGAGGGGTTAGCAGGAGTGAAGCAATACAGGAGGAGATTTAGGGTGGAAGTAGAGCCACCCAAGGGGCTTGTCCATCTCCTCCTCTCTCCCTCTCCTCTGTAAATTGGGTCCCTGCATATCAGGTAGAGAGAGCCAGTGGCTGGCTCCGGTCATCTCTCAGACGGAGAATGTGCTCATGACTCACACTGGGCACCAAAAGTAAAGTGAGGGGGATTACCCCTGCAGCGCCCAGCAAGAGGGCAAGGGCTTACCAGAATGAGGATTCTGCCCTCCCCAACCCGCTCACCCCTGACCTCAGCATGTGGAGCACCTGTGTCATTCCCAGGGCCCTCCGCTGCTAAAGCCTCAGGGGAAAATGCGGCCCTGTGAGACCAGGGGTCTCTGGGTCCCAAATGTAACCCACTGTAAATGTCTGTTGTAGGTGCTGGGTGTGTCAGAGTCCTCCATCCACATCATTGGTGTGAGCCTGGGGGCCCACGTTGGGGGCATGGTGGGACATTTCTACAAAGGCCAGTTGGGATGGATCACAGGTAACATTCTTCCTTGTCCATCCTCCCAGGTTTGGAGAAAAGTAGAAAGAATGCCCTGAAAATGTCTTTGTTGAGGCAAGCAGAGGGAAGTGCCAAACCTTTTGGTGTTATGATGAAGCCATCCATGATCACTAAAATTTATTTATTGGGACTCTTTTGCATAAAGTGATATTGTGTTATTGCATGAGCTCTAATATCAGTGTAAGAAGCCATGAAGTTCTTGCTAAGCCTCAGTTTCTACATCTGTGATGCAAAAATATAATAAACTAGAGGCCTGGTGCATGAAATTTGTGTACTGGGTGGGGGTGCGGGGGGAGGGCCCTCAGCCCGGCCTGCACCCTCTCGTAGTCTGGGAGCCTTTGGGAGATGTCCAGCCTATTGCTTAGGCCTGCTCCCCCTGGGAGGAGCGGGCCTAAGCCATCAGTCGGACATCCTTAGTGCTGAGGTGGAGGCAGAAGAGGCTCCCACCACCGCTGCTGCACTCACCAGCTGTTAGCCTGGCTTCTAGCAGAGTGGTGCTCCCCCTGTGGGAGCGCACTGACCATCAAGGGGCAGCTCCTGCATTGAGCGCCTACCCTCTGGTGGTGAGTGCGCATCATTGAACTGGTTGTTCTGCCATTTGGTTGATTTGCATATTAGCCTTTTATTATATAGGATGGAGACACTTTAAAATGGAGTCAGAGTTGTCATCCCAGTAGGACTGCCTTGCACATCTTATACCTAAAACCTTTGGAATGTTAAAACAGGGCAAAATAACCTTCGGACTGGGCCTTAAGCAACATTGTGTCCCAAAGAACTGTTGGCAAGGATAAAGGAAAGGAGGTATTATGTCTACCAGCTGATGACTACTGGACTGAATTAAAAACACTGTTTAGAATTCGTGTTGTTATGTTAGCTTATCTGCATCAATAGAAATGCCTTCCTTCCAGTGATGTAATGGTTCCTCTTCCCTTTCTTGTAACTATCCCTTGCTTTGTGTCCTAATCAGAACATTATGTAGATTTCTGCCTGAATCAGTGGTTCTGAATAGCTACTCTTTTTTTATATCAAATAAATGCGTGTTGCCTCTCACTTTGAAAGATCTTTCATTTTTAGGTTAATAGCTCATATCTTCTTGGTCCACTGTGGAAATCACCTTTAAACAGTATGCTAAATACTTGCAAAAGTGCAGTATTCTTCATGCTTCAGGAGCTACTGTTAATCGATTAGGGGCTAGAGTTGTGCGGAAATTACCATCCAGTGCAACAACTCTGAGTCATGTTCTACAAGCCTGTCAGAGGAGCCCCAGTGGGATGAGACCTACTTGCCCAAAGTGATACTCCATTCATTAAAAATGTCCTTCCTTCTATCACTCTATTTTCCACTCCCTCACTAGTTTTCTGTGATCTCTCAAATAAGCCAGTTGCATTTTTTAAATTTTTATTGTTGAGAGCATTACAGGTATCCCCCCAGTTTCCTTCCCCATTTCCCCCTCCACCTGGATCCTGCCCCACCCAAGGCCTTCACCACCCTATTGTCTGTGTCCATGGGTTATGTATATATGCATATAAGCTCTTAGGTTAATCTCTTCCCATCCCTTCCCCCACCTTCCCTCTGAGATTCTTTAGTCTGTTCCACATTTTCATGCCTCTGGTTCTATTTTATTCATCAGTTTATTTTGTTCATTAGATTCTTTCTTAGTTCATTTTAATTTTCAGATTCAACTGTTGATACATATGTATTTATTGTCATTTTATTGTTCATATTTCTTCTTCTTGCCGGGGTGTTTCCCTGAATCTAGAAGGGTTCAGGAATCTGGAAAAGGGGCTGTGAGTAAATTAATAAACTAGACATGAAATATAAATTTGGAAGGCATTTTGGGGAGCCAGAGGAGACCTAACTTCAGTAACCAAGCTCTCTGAATCTCTACACCCCTAGCTTTTTATTAACACAAATTGCCCTAAAGCAAAGCAGATATACATATCAAAGGTAAGATTTGGTATACTGTAGGCATTGTCAGGTTGGGGAACTGCCCTCAGCTGTCAGGCGCAGGCAATAATATATGCAAATATTTAGGTTTGGGGAAATGCTTTCAGCTATTCCAGCAGCAGGTAATATGATTCAGCCTGCTGAATATAGAAGCCCATCAACCTTTTGAGGACTTCTTGCATTTATGACCTGCTGGAATTAGCTTCCAGCACTACTTACTCCTCCTCCTCCTTCTCTTCTTCCTCCTCCTCAAGAAGACTCTTTAACATTTCATGTAATACTGGTTTGGTGGTGATGAACTCCTTTAGCTTTTTCCTGTCTGTGGATCTCTTTATCTGATTTTCAATTCTAAGTGCGAGCTTTGCTGACTAGAGTAATCTTGGTGGTAGGTCTTGCTTTTCATTGTTTTGAATATATCTTGCCACTCTCTTCTGATTTGCAAAATTTCTGTTGAGAAATAAGCTGACAGTCATATGGGCACTCTCTTGTAGGTAACTAACTGCTTTTCTCTTACTGCTTTTAAGATTCTTTCTTTGTCTTCAACCTTTGGCATTTTAATTATGATGTGTCTTGGTATGGGTCTCTTTGGGTTCCTCTTGTTTTGAACTCTCTGTGCTTCCTGGACTTGTAAGTCTATTTATTTCATAAGGTAGGGGAATTTTTCTGTCATTATTTCTTCAAGTAAGTTTTCAATTCCTTGCTCCTTCTCTTCTCTTTCTGGAACCCCCATATCCCAGAGACTCCTCATACTATCTTCATATTTTTGGTTCTTTTTCTTTTCTTTTTGCTCTTCTGATTGGGTATTTTTAGCTTCCTCATATTCCAAATTCTTGATTTGATTCTTGGTGTCCTCTACTCTACTGTTGAATCTCTGTAAAATATTCTTCATTTCAGTTAGTGTATCTTTCATTTCTGACTGGTCCTTTTTCATGTCTTTGATTTTCTCACTAAGTTCTTTGAAGTTCTCATTACAATTTCATTTAGTTCTTTTTCTGGCGCTTTCTTGTGCTCTTTCATTTGTGACGTGTTTCTTTGCCTCTGCATTTTGGCTGCCTCCCTGTGTTTATTTCTATGTATTAGGTAGAGCTGTTATGTTTCCTTGAGTTGGTAGAGTGGCCTTATGTAGTAGATGTCCTGTGGGACCTAGCCTTCCCAGTCATCTGAGCTGGTCACTCTAGGTGAGCCCCTGTGTGAGCTGTGTGCACAGTCCTTCTGTAGTTGATCTGGTAAGTTTGTGTGCAGGCTCTTTAAGGGGAACATCTGGGATCCCAGTAACCTCCGATTCCCTCAGCCACAATCCCTGCTGGTTTTTACGGCCCATAGTTTCAGACACTTTTCTTCCCAGCTCTGGAACCCTGAGCTGGGGAATCTGGTGTGGGGCTGGGATCCCTTGCTCCTCATGCAGACTTCCACAACCCATTCTGCACCTCCACCCTTCCTATCAGTCTCAAAATGGCTTCTTCTTTAATTCTCTAGTTGTAAGACTTCGGTTTTGGCCAGATTTCAGATAGTTCTGAATGATGGTTGTTTGGTATTTTAGTTGTAATTTTGATGTGGTTGTGGGAGAATGTGACTACCACATCTATGTATACCATCATTTTGATTGGAAGTCACTGCTTGCATTTTTGAATTCTTGTCTCAGGGTCTGCTTTTTGGGAGGGAGAGAGTAAGGGGTCCAAACTAAGACATGGGGATAGTAATATTTCCTTCATTATGTTTTTGTGAGGACTAGAGTGCCGCAGTCTTTTTGCAGCAAGGGTTCAGGAATCTGGAGAAGGGGCTGTGACATAAATGGATATGCTAGACAAGAAATATAAATTTGGAAGGCATGGGGAAAGCCAGGTGGAAACCAGCTCTCTAGTGGAGTGGCTTTCCAAATCTCCGGACCCACGGCTTTTTATTTACACGTTTTTATAGTTCCTCATGTTGTGGTGACCCAACCATAACATTATTTTCGTTGCTACTTCATAACTGTAATGTCGCTACTGTTATGAATCGTAATGTAAATATCTGATATGCAGGATGGTCTTAGGAGACCCCTGTGAAAGGGTTGTTCAACCCCAAAGGGGTCGCGACCCACAGGTTGAGAACCGCTGGGTTAGGGGAATTGTCCTCAGCTGTTTGGCCAGCAGCAGGGTAATATAAGCCCACCAGCCTTTTGAGGACTTTTTGCATTTATTATGACCTGCTGGACTGAGCCTCCCGCACTAGAGCGTGTAAAACTGCTCAGCAGATGGCCTGGCACATAGTGACTGCTCAAAAATTATACTATTGTTGTTACTCCATGAGGATTAATATCACTCACATTAACAAATGGTTGGTGTTATTAAGCTTATTGTAGAGCCAGAGACTTGGGTCATTAAGAGGTTAGAGACAGCAGAACAGGGGTTCCTAGCTATGGGAGTTCTGAGTTAGTTATCCACTCTTGGGTTCTTGTTGGGGGACTCTGAAACAAAAGAGCCCTTTTGGGTGGTAGCATCTGTCCCTATCAAGGTAGGTGTGTGGTGGATCTGGGAGGGTTCCTGTGGTTGAGGGGAAAGGGGGTCTTTACCATCAGTCTGTCCTTGTAGGCCTGGACCCTGCTGGACCAGAGTATACCAGAGCCAGCCTGGAGGAGCGCCTGGATGCTGGAGATGCCCTCTTCGTGGAAGCCATCCACACAGACACCGACAGTGAGCTGGGAGTTCCTCCTGGGGTGGGGGAATGAGCACAGGGTAAGGGCTAGGGGGTTGACATATC